ATAAAATAAAAATAAATAATAGCACCTCCCCGCCCCCGACAGAATTTCCCTGTGTAGCCCTGACTGTCCTGGAACTCACTTTTAGAGTGCTGGTCTCAAACTCAGATCTGCCTGTCTCTGCCTCTGCCTACTGAGCACTGGGATTAAAAGTGTACACTACCACCATCCAGCAATAATAAATCTTAAAAAATATATTTATGGTGAATTCTCAACCTTACCCCTAACTTTGAAATATAATTGTATTTGGAGACAGAGCCTTTGAAAGATAATCTGAGTGGGCTTGAGTCTAATGTGACAGCTGTCTTTATATAAAGGACAAGTTAGGAAACTCCCTGTGAAGACCCAGGGAGACGGTGTCCATCTATACGCACAGGAGAGAGGCCTCCAGGGAAATCAAACTATTTATTTACTTATTTAGACAAGGTCTTGCTATATAGACCAGGCCGATCTAGAACTCACCATGGGCCTGGTTCAGCTGAGATTACAGGCAGGCATCATGCTCGGTTTGAAACCAGCCTTTTCACACCTACCCCTTGGACTGCGAGAAAAAAAATTGTTGTGGTTTGTTGTGTTGTTTCTAGCAGAGCAGCGCACAACCCATGCATTTTAAATGTTTAGGAGAACTATTCAAGGGAGAGAAGAAGGAAGGAGAGGGGCAGAGAAGTGTTTGGGGCAACCTGGGAGGAAGATGGATGTTGGTGTGTTCATAGTAACCCACCTTAGAAGCAGCAAGCGCATGACATTAGAGGGAGCTGAACTTGTATTATAGCTTAGGTCAGTACAGCCGGAAGTAACTATGGAGACCTGGAGAGGACAGCCTTCAGCTCTATGAAAATCTTGGAGGAGAGATGATAGGGAGCCGCCACTGAAGGGTCAGAGAAAGCCAAGGAAGTAGGCGGAGTTTAGGGCTGCCACTCCCCTCCGCAGCCTGTGTGTCACCTGCTGGGTGTCCTTATTGGGGGTAGAATTCAGACCTCACTTCCACAGCACTGGCAGACAGTTGCTGTGGCTGCTGCCCCCAGTTCCAGCCAGTTCAGAAGTTAGGCTCTCCCCCCCAGCTGCTGTTGGATTAGTCCAGATGTTTCTCTTCAGTCAAGAAAAGAGTCTGAAATGTGTTGCTCACGGGTTTTTTCCCCTTTTAATACCCGCTCTCTTTAACTATAATTTGGTTGTATAGCCACCTGCACCACCAATTTTAGAACATTTTCATTACCTGGGGGGAAAATACCATTACCTATTAAGAGTCATTTTTCATCTCCTCCAATACCCACGCCCTTGGCAATCAAGCTGCCTTCCCGTCTCTAGAATTGCCTGTTTCTGAATATTTTATAAGGTATAATCATAAGCTACCTTCTGTAATTGACTTCTCAGTCAACATAATGTTTCAAGCTTAGCTGGTGTATAGCATACATCAGTAATTCATCATCTGTATTACCAAATAATATTCATCCACCTACCAACTGGTGGAATGTTTGGTCTATTTCTCTATTTTAGTTACTAGGAGTGGTGAGTCTCCCCCCTCACCTAAGCTAAACCTGAGAGCGCGCCTCAAGACATGATCAGTGACTTCCATAGTGACTCTAAACCCCACCACCAAATTGGCAATCAAGATTAACCTTTACAAATGTTTGTGTGAATGCTTCTGTGTGGCTATTTTCGTGTCTCTTAGATATGTACCTAGAAGTGGCATTGCTGGACCACAGAGACTGTGTCTTCCTTTCTGAAAGCCTGGCCAAGGGAAAGCCGGCGGAACCCTCCTCAGCACACCCATCACAGAAGTGGTGTAGGGGCTTCCTGGTTCTCCACAGCTGCATCAGTGCTTAGTCTCCATCTTTTGCTTTCTTAAATCAAAAGTGGTAACTTCTTACAGCTTGGGATATTCTTGGCCGCTTGCATGTGTTCTTTGTGTGGACATCCACTCAGCATCCACTCAGCATCCACTCAGCATCCACTCAGGTCTTTTGCTCATACATCAGTTGAATCGTTTGTTTTCTTTCACTACTGGACTGCAAGAGCGGGGATTTAATTTTTGAAAGTTCTCTCCCATCCTATGGATTACCTTATTATGTCCATGGCCACCTATGCATTTGATGATGTCCAATTGTGGATTTCATCATTTCTATTTGTGCTTTAGGGTCATTTTCCAGGAACTGTTGCCTAACCTAATATCATGAATATTTGCCAGTTATATCTTAAGGAAATATTTAACAGTTTTAGCCTTTACTTTTACATCTTTGGTTCCTTGTAATTTAACTTTTGTGTTGGTTGTGAGGTAGGGGACTCCCCCCCCCCAATTCTTCTGCACATGAGTCTCTAACGTATCTGTTGAGAAATTGTTTCCTTTTTGAATAATTTTGACATCCTTGTCCAAAATCAATTGCCCAGGAATGCAAGGGTTACTGAATAGTTTATTAGGATATCTGATAATACCTATGCCAAAGGTCACATATCACATTATATAACATGTGCAATTTGCAATTATTCATCAGACTAAAGAAATGGCAGGCAGACACCATCCTATTCTAGTTCATTTTGAAAATTAGAAGACAAACTCTCAGTAAGTGGTTGAGTAGTAATAACTTAATTTATACCTCAATTCAGACAAAATTACCATGGGGCATGTGTTCTGGATCGGAGCCTAGACAGGGCTCGATGAGCCAGGGATCCATCTGATGTGACATCAGAGACTCTTCCCAAATACAGCACCAAGGTCTTACACTTTGAGTCCTGTCATTGAGGGAAAGCACTTGCAGGCACTTCTTCATGACTTTGGGCAGACTTTCTAATCACCTTGACCGGGAGGAGCCAGGTGCTGGGGTTAGGGAGTACGCTTGTTCTCTGTGCGGCTGCCAGCTGCCATTTTAAACCCCTCTCTCTATTCTACCCTCCTATGTGGCTTTATTTCTAAGCCAGAAGCTTCGTCAGGAAGCTGCTGGTTACAGTATACCAGGCATAGGCACACCAGTTTCCTATCTTTGGGCATAGTAGGTAATTTGGTTTGTCTTTTGGACAGGATGGAAATTGTGTGGAGGATGTTAAAAAAAAAAAAAGGCACTCTAGGAGCATACAAATTTTAAGGAGCTAGCAAATTTATCTTACTTTATTAAACTGTTCTGGAATTCACTGTGAGAAAATAAAGATTTTTGCCTATAACCCTGAAGACCAACAAGAGTATTAATCTGTGAGATAATCTGTGAGACAGGCAGATCTGTCTGTACATAGCTACATCTACAGTCATAATATAATAAACCTTTGAAGTCTCTGAAACCCTCTGCCTCAGAGTCTAGGGTGCTTTCAGAAATCCACATTCCCGAGGCTCTCCTGAATCAGAAGTCTGGGCAGCAGATGTTAGAATCTGTGTTTTAAGGCATCCCTGGAGGGTCTCCTAAACCCCTAAATCGAGAGCTGCCGACTTGGGAGCTTCCTGAGGACGAAACACTTGCATCCCAAGTGTCAGAAAAGCACAGATCTGGAGTTAAACTTTAATTTCCGCTCCAGGCTGGAGTCGGGATACAGTGATAAGCCCATGGTAGATGCACAGATGGGGCCCGGCGCCTAGCACCATACAGGGACCATGTTTATTGGATGAGAATAAAGGATTCCAGGTTCACAGGACACTGTGAGGATTAAATGGGACAATGTACATAAAGGCTCTAACAATGCCTGGCACAGACATTGTTATTTATTTATGCCCATATTATTTATGGCATGGCACCAGCTGTCTCTTCCCCAGGCCCCTCTCATTAGCCACGTTGGTTACATTCTTGACTTATGAGTCACACAATCAGCTAGGCGCTTCACGATTGATCTATGGAGCCTGATAAATAAGCTGAGAAATTCTGATGAGAAGCTGAAACAGGGTCAGCCAGGCCACTGACCACTGCCAGGTGTAGTTTTCAGGACAACCAGCAACGAACCCAGTGGTCCTATCATGAGGATTTAACTTGTATTTCTTAGTTCTAAAAACGTGCCAAAATTGATAAGTACAGAACATCACAAAAAGCAATATCTTCCCCTTCATTATCCAGAAGTATACCCTATGGAAACAAACCCTGCTGGTTACTCTCAGCCACAGCAGGTGTCTCTGCATGGTTGCTCTCAGCTGCAGCAGGTATCTCTGCATGGTGCAGCCAGATGGTGTGCAGGCCCCACTGGCTCCGAAGGACCCTGGCTTGGAGTCAAGGCTTAGTGGCTGCCATCTTGAAATTCTTAGTTATTCTCTCTTTGACCTTAAGTCTTACCAGTGAAATTCAATGCCCCTGAGTACAGCACCCTACTGTGAGCCACACCCTGATGGCCATCTAGCCTAGGCTGGTGGAGGAGAGTGGACACCCTCACGGGCTGCTCCCTCACCCCATAACTCCTGCAGCATCTGGCCGGCTTCTCCTGCTCTTGGCAGGTTCCCTCCGTGCTTTGCGGCCCTTTTTCACTTACAAATAAGGTACCTTTTATGCTTCATGAATTCCCCCCTTGTCCCTCTCTCGCTTTTCAGTGAGGCTGTTTATTTAAAGTTCTATGTTTCTTGGCATTTGTCATGGGAGACGCTTGCTCAGTTCTATTGGTGGAGATGGGGAGGGGGGAGGAACCCAGTGTAACCTTCAAGTGAGTGACCTTAGTTCTAGGAATTTATCCCAAGAGAAAACTAAGTAAAATTACTAATCAAAAGGAGTATTATTCCAGTAACATTATTGCTAGGAAGTTAGAGGGGATTGATTAAATGATGGCCTTTCCACACAGCCAGCAGACGTGTTAAAAATAACAGGGCTGAATGGGCAATGGTGAGGAAAAGGTGTCATCAATGTGTTAATGAAAAAATGTCAAGCAACAAAATTACTTTAAAATCTCATTTTTATATAAAAATACACATGCTTATAGGTAAAGACAGCTTTACATGGTAGTTTCTGGGAGGCGTTTGGGCTGCCCTCTTTTCCGCCATCTTGAGATTGTTTATAATGCCTGCCATTTGCAGCCTCTGGTGCCATCCTCTCCTTGCCTTCCAGGTGTGCTGGAAGATGGACTGTCCTCCAACGGTGTGCTCCGACCTGCTGTCCCAGAGAAGAAGATGACCTGTGGGACACAGTGTCCCAACTCCCAGAGCCTCAGCTCAGGCCCTCTGACCCAGAAACAGAATGGCCTTTGGACCACAGAGGTAGGGCCGCGGCCCCAGAACCACCTGGGGACTGGAGAATGGGTGGAGTTCACTTAAGTGGGACTGCCAGCCTCAGGGATGGAGATTCTCCACCCCTCCATTTAAGATTACAGCAAACCTCACTGAAATCCTCTCCCCGTGGGCTATAGGGTTTCCGTTAACTTGCAGAAATGTATCCTCGAGTGAAGTAATGAAGCCTGTGGTAAGAAGTAAACTTGGCGTTTTATCTCACATCCTCCAACCAATTGGTCAGTGCAAGGGTCCCTGAGGGCGATTCTTGTAAAATATGATAACATCATTACCTTTAAACCCTTGCTGTTGGCAAGGCGGCAGGCTGTGGTCCCTGGAGCTGGCTGTCATCTCTGACCCTTTCTCCCTGGAGCTCTTGGTTGGAGGCCCTCCTCCTGCTCTGCCCGGCTCCTCCACAGAGGGACTGCAGCCCAGAACAAACGTTCTGAGGAGGCTGGGCTCTGTGCCCTCTCTTCTTCCTCCTACCCAGTGCCCCCTCCCCCCACTAACTGTCTGCTTCAGAACTTACTGCCACCTCTCCCAGCTCCCGCATCTGCTCCCTGGGGGCACAGCTGCCCACCCAGTGATGGGATTCTTGCTGGCATCATGAGTTGCCCTTAGAGGCTTTGATCAGCAAACTGGTTGCTAACTCATCTCTGAAGCTCACTCACTGAGTAGGCTTGCAGGAATCAGTCTCTCAGACCCTCGGGTTTCTTAGACAGATTAGGGAAATGAAATGACACCCAAGGAAAAAAGACGGGTCTGCTCTTGTCAACTGAGATGCACATAACATTGGCAAGGAGGCCAAACAGGACAGCTTGGTACTCAACACAAGGACCCTATTAATGCTAATGGAGCCCTACTGCTAACTAACAGTAGGTAGTTGACAGCATCCTCCCAGGGCCTGGCATTGGCTACCTTGCCTGTGCACAAGTTGACCTCTAGGAGAATGAGTCATCATTCATATATACCAAAGCAACCGTGCTCACCAGTTTGGTGAGAGTTCTAGTGAAGGTTCCGGTCTATGTCTCCCATCCTCCTCCCCGTACTTGGGTCTCCACTCTTACGGCCAGAATGAGCTCTAGCAGAGAGGTGGCAGATTGACCTGGGAAGTGGCCTGAGCCCTGTGCTCGTTTTCCCTATGTATTGGATGGCACAGTTAGTTCTACATATGTGATGGAGATGGGCATGATCCTTTCCACCGACCAAGGTGGAGCAAAGCATCATAACACCTGGGTGGGACTGTAGCCCTGGTGGCAGAGTCTTCCCTAGCAGTATGAAACCTTGAACTCAATCCCCAGCACTGGGGAATCAGAGTACTCAGGAGATGGAGTTAGGAAGGTTAAAAGTTCAAAGTTATCCTGAGCTATGTTTTCACAGCAGTGAGAAAACCAACATGCACACATTGACTATCACAATTCCAATTTCAAATTTGAAACTCTTCCTGAGTGAGCAGCACACAGTACAACCCTTCTTTCATGATGCTGGCCAGCAACAGTGAAGAGGGTAACAGCTTTCAGTCGGCCTGGAAATCACCAGGGACCCAGCTGAGAGCCCGCAGTGAGCTGGAGTCTTTAAGCTGGAGTGTTCGGAATGTTAGAAATGCTACATACATTTCTCAACTTGTATTGGGTTTACTGGTATGTAAGTTGCCACGATGTTGGAATTTTACTGCACTTCCCCTGTGCGCCGTCACCTGGGGGATGGTTCTTCTCCAGCAGCCACCTTTGGAGAAGCATGCAGCCTCAAACACACACCTCTTGCAGTTTTCTGGTTCAGATTTACCAGAAAAATGTGGGGATTAAAGACGAACCTTGCTAGGCCTCGAGAGTTTCCTCATTAGTTCCTACGAGCACTCTCAGGTTCCCTTTGAGTGCTGTTCAGATGCCAGGCACTGTTTGAGTGCCAAGAACCCAGGAGTGGGAAAGAGAGAGGCACTGTTTCCTCCAAGTGCCAGCTGCCATCAGCGTGAGAGTCAGATCGGAAGATAAATGACGTTGTTGTTGCAGACTTGACTGTGCTCTGAGAGACCTGGGAGTCACCACTGCGGGTAGTGACTTCTCTGTTGGCACCTATGCCCCCCACGGGTTCAAATTCGCTTCTGGAGGGCGATGGGACTTAATGAACAGTACCAATGGTGGCGAGCAACAGTCCTCTGTGTTTGGACAAACAAACCCTGTATCTTTTTCTTCAGTTCCTTCTGGTCCTTGCTTTCTGGCCAGCCATCAATAGGTGTTAACTGGAAGAACAATTGCACCAACAATGGTCTTTCATAAGTTGGAGCTGACTGTCTCAGTAGGGAGCTCTGTGTGCCCTGCTTCCCCTGATTATTTGGGGCCGTACTGACCCCACAACCTTTACGACGTCATTGGTCATTGGCTTGTTCTCCTTCACTCACTTCCCCATCCTGTGCTCCACAAACACAAGAGGCGCCTCTGTTGCTCTCTGTTAGGTAAGGGAATCCAAGAACTCTGGGCTTTCCAAGATCCTCTGCACCTTGATATGCCATTTTCTTCTGGCTTACAGTTCATCTCATCCCTTAAAAGTCAAACAGGCAAACTCTCTCAAGGCCAGCTCAGCAGGTAAGGGTGCTTCCTACCAAGCCTGAGTTTGATACCAGGAACCTGTGTGGTAGAAAGAGAGAACCGATCCCTGAACCTTATTCTCTCATCTCCACAGGTACTCTAGCGCAGACACGCACAGGCGCAAACACACACACACACACACACACACACACACACACACACAAATAGAACTCTCCACTGGGGCTGGAGAGAAGGCCCAGCAGTCAAGAGCACTTGTTGTACTTGCAGGGGACTGAGAGTCAGTTCCCAGCACCCACATGATGGTTTTACCACAGTGAAAGGTACAGAGGGTCTTGTGCCCAGATATAAACACTAGGAGAACCAGGAATGTCAAGCATGCAGGGTTGTCTCTTCAAAAGGAGAGATGTGTCATCTGTTTCCTGCCCAGAAGGTTGGGAGTGGGCACGATCGATGACCTGGCAACCTTTGCCCTCTCTGCGTGGCCAAGACCACCCTGGACCCCCCCACCAGACCCTTATCTTGAGCCTGTTGTTCTCAGCTGACCTAGAGAACCCAAGTTTACACATGATGTCACATGCACTTTACAGAGAGTTTCAGTGTAGTCATGTTCTAGGTTTTATGGGGCACTCAGGATTGAGTTAATTATCACCAGGAAACTCACCGGATCGTGCTGTGCTTAAACATGTCTAAAATAAACTATGTGGGATCAGGCTCTTGAAGTTTGAACCAGCACTGGCTTCTCAGTTACGCTGAATAGAACTGCCTTCTTGATTGGTTAGGGTGTTTACAGAGCATGCCCACTTGCTCCCACGCAGGCCCACTTCCCGCTCCCACCCTCACCCCTCCAACCATGTGTAACTCCAGTCCCAGGGAATCTGATGCCCTCTTCTGACCTCCACAGGGGCATAAACACACAGAGGCAAAAAAATCTAAGCAAAACAAAACAAAACCAGACCCCGTCAGATATTAGTCAGAGGTAGACATGCCACTTGAACGCAGCCTACGAGGCTTTCATGTCTCCAAAGCTCCAACGCTTTATTGTTTTTGGCAAAGTGACCAGACGCTAATGGAATCACCCATTGTCTGGATTAATTCTCTGCTAAGGGACTTGCTACAGAAGTTTCCACCCCAGAGTCTGCCCAACAATGCTTGGCAATGTGCGGCCTCCTATAGGAAGAAGGGGTGAAGCCCCACAGAGTTCAAAGAAAAGGGTCAGCTTGGGGTTTCTCTCAGACTATGGTAAAGTAAGGCGCATCATGGAAGAACTTGGGAGGAGTTTGTCTTAGAAAAACAGAAGCAGGAGGCTACATGAAGGGAGGGAACAGATGGAACCACGGGGGTGGGGGCAGAGGGAAGGCTGTCCATAGCGCACTTGGGAGCGCTGAGCAGCCCGCCTGGGAAAAGGAAGGGATCTATTATAGCCCTGTGAGAAGTTTCTGTAGAGATTTGGCCTGCAGCAAAACCAGTTCAGTTAGATGGTGCTCGAGCCACAGCCCTCCGTATTCATTATATTCTCCCTTTGACCGTCCAGTCCTCTTCAGGTTTAATGCACCTGCTAGGTGCTCATAACTACATACTGGTTGAGTGAGACTAACCTAGAAGCTCACTGAGATTAAAGGGGGCGGGGCTCCCCACCCCCACCCCCGCACCAGCTCTGCTCTGACATCACTGTGTCATGGCATCTCTGTGATCATCCCGGAAATCATCTCCTTGAGGCTCATGGGGGAAAAGCAAGACATCCTTGTGACCCTTGGCGAAGCCCAGTAGGTTAAGTCAAAGCAGGTCTGCTCCTGCTGTGGAAGGCTAGCGGCTGACCTCTAGTGGAGTTGGAGTATCCCCTGATTAACCCCAGGTTAATGCTCTAAATTCCCATGGAATTTGGGGACTAGCGGTTTCTTTAGCGGAGATCTGACAGAAGTCTAAGACCTCGCAGTGCAGCCTGCAAGACCCTGCTCTTTAATCCTCTGAGAGGTAAGGGAGGGGTGAAACTAACACACCTGGCTTACTACGTGCCAGACACTATATATGTCATTGTTTTTTATATGTTTGTTTGTTTGGTTTGGTTTGGTTTTCTTGAGACAGGGCTTCCTTGTATAACAGCCCTAGCTGTTCTGGAACTCGTTCTGTAGACCAGGCTGGCCTTGAGCTCACAGAGATCCACCTGCCTCTGCCACCCAAGTGCTGGGATTAAAGGCATGCACCACAACTGCCTGGGCTATAAGGCATTGTTTTTAACCTCCACGACTCTGTCCTTCCCCACCTGGGAAAACAGAGGCCCACCCAGCAGGATGCAGCGAACTGTGCCTCCCAAGCCCATGCCTTTTCCTTCACTACCTGAACCACAATGTTGGAGGAGTCAGTGTGAGCTTGATCAGAGTTCATCAGTACGTGGGACCTGGAGCCACGGTCTTTCTTTTGGATTGTCACCTACAGGCCACTGTCCTC